ACGAGGCGCAGCGGCAGTGGGTGCCAGGAGTCAGAGACTGATGGGTATCAGCAAGTGCGGCAGCTGATAGATGCAGCCGACCTGCGCGAGGCCAAGGATGGTCGTTGCGTGGTTGCTGCGGGAAATTTACGCATGATATGGTCGCTAAAGTGCGCGAGACTGACCACACTGCATCGCGTCGAGCAGCCCCCCATCATGGCGATGAGGCCAATCGTTTGGGAATATCATGTGGGCCGCTCTTGCTTCGCTTTCGTTGAGTCGAGGGTTGAATTGCTCGATAGCCTGCGCCAAGGAATGTGGCGAGACCAGAGGGAGAGGAGAGTTCAGCATGAACCCGGCTTGGCAGCGCTTGGTTGCTCGTTGGGGTGTAAGACGGGTGCATTCCCGACTCACCAATGTTCCCAATGGCCCTCGACCCTCGCAGCCGTGTCTCTAGCCCACGCTTCCGTTCCCACCGCAGCCCTAAACTCTGGATGTTGCAGCGCATCCAAAAAGTAGAGCGCGTTGGGATAACGCAGGAAGCGAGCGTACTCGGGTTTGCGCCAGGTGGTGTGAAGATGTTGCAGGTAGCGAATGAATGTTGGATCGGCGAGGTGGCCTGATTGGGACAGGTGCACCAGATAGTGGGGAGATGCGAGGGCGGAGAGCGTTTCCAGATCCGACGTGAAGCGATGCTGGTTCACTGCTCGATGATATTGTTCCGCTAGGCTTCGTTCTTGAGCACCTCCTGACTGACTGCTGGACGCCTCGAGCACGGGCGTGTTGGACATGTTGCAGTGGGGGTGATAGCTGGCGGAGGAGGAGTAAAGTGGTGGTCGAATGTTCGCACTCACACTGGCCTGTTGACCGTGTTGCGAAAGACGGGCTGAATGATGACGCGCGGGCCGATTGCTGCTCGATCAAATCACGAATGCCACTCGATCCACCTTTGTCAACGCTTGAGCAGCTTGGAAGAGGTCCAGGCGGTGCAGAGAAGAGCCCTTCCTGTCAGACTTCTCGTGAATACTCCAAGTCGCTCAGCTCATTCAGCGTCGAGCGCTCAGAGGTCAGAAGAGGGGCAAGCGTCTTGACCTGATTCAGAAGTCAAAGCTTGTTGTAAGCCAGACTCGTTGCGAGCAGCTATGTAGGGAGGATCGACTCATGGCGTAAAAGGGGAGCGTAGACGCATCACGTCACGTCACCTGCGCCGCTATACCTACCGAGGCTGAATTCCTGATTATCGAGCCCGCGGCGCTCGGTATCGCGGCCGGACAGCTGCAGGTATATGTAGCGTATATGTGTAAAAGCGGCTCTGCTGCACAGCTCATCAAATGCTGCACGCGCTCATCGCGATCGAATTGTGCTGCATGGATCAGTACCATTATTCTTGATTTGTTTCACCTACCACAGTCTGTGATGCGTCAAATTAATAGTTGACTAGTAGCGGTCCATATTCACGATTATGGTTTGTGATGATGATTGTGATTGTGATTGCCCATCCAAGGATCTCAATCACGATTCAGAATCAAGCATGCGAATCAAGAATGTGAATCACCAATGCGCAAAGCACAGCCACGCATGTGTAGGCGAGTCAAGTCGTGAGTATGCAACTGTCAGCGCTGCTGCTGTCAGCGCTCTTTCCATTCACATTCACATTCACATTCACATTCACATTCACATTCACATTCACATTCTGATTCCAGATTCGAGCTTTGCCATGTTTTGTT